CTTGCACATTCCCCAGATACCTTAAGGGAAAGGTGGGGGATGACCACGTAAGAACAACGATGCACAGACTGCCTTTGTGGCTTTCGTGCCTGCAGCTGTATGCAGCAAATTACTTCTTGTAGGTAGTCAGAAATCACGTGTAAAACAACACACGGTGTGTAATAGTTCTTGAGTGCTGAGACCAGCTATAGAGACAGCATTGTTCTTAACAGCCAATACAAAGAAAATAAAATAATTACTAGGCATAATGATCATTAGTGTACAGATCTAAACCTGCCAGGCACAGGCTTACCAAGGCATTAAGTTCCTAAAAGAGATAGTTAGCATGGATCAGCAAATGTGCTCCCTGCACACATTCTTTGCACATTTTATGCTCACAGTATTCCTTAAATACTAATATCTTTTACGAGCTGTTGCCAGCTGCAAACTTTAAATCGTGCATGATATAAAATACATAAGAATGGGTCCAAAAAAAAAAAGCAACCATCAACACAACCTCACTGAAGTCAGTGGATAAACACTAGAAGTCAGTACTCTTTAGGGTCGTTTTTTTTAGAGTTGGGACTCAAATAAGTAGACCCTAATAATTTGGCATCGTGCGTGTATTTCTGGAACTTTCATTTGGTCCTGCTTTATGGGGAGAATAAAGAGGGGGGAAAAAAAAGCAAACAAGAAAAATACAATTCCTATACAGGAAACAATAATGAACACTGGAAATCCAGCTGGGGAATTGAGGTTTTAAATATGGACCAGATGCTTATCAGACCCCCAAAGAATTTATAATAGAGCAGTTCTGTTGAGGTCAGTAGATCTGCTTGCATTCATCATTGCACTTTCGCCACAATACTTTGATTGTTCTTGATTTCTGTAGAGTTTGTATTAAGGGAGTTACTGGCCAGAATGCTCGTCCAGTAACACTTTAGATGATTATATCAGTATATTTTTAGGCAGTAAATTTGTAACTGATAAACTTTGATATGAACCACAGAAACTAAAAGTTAGATTAAATTCTGTATTGGACATAAGCAATTTTGTATCAACTCTGTGTGCAATAGAAATAAGGAAGACAGATTTGATCTTAAATATTCTTACTGGAACTACCAAAAATTATTTACTGAAATTTTACAGCCTATAATTTTAAATTTTTAATCTTATTTTAAAAGCTAAAAACTACTCATTTATCAATCCAGCTTTACAAAAGGTTCAAGTCATCATTAATGAGCAGAGGCATATATACTATCCTTCCAAACAATGTTTGGAATAAGATAATTTTTTTAACACAACTTCAGTTAAGGCTGGTGAAAGGGCTGAGCTGAATTCATAGTAGTTTTGTCACCCTTTGCCAATGCCAAGATTTTTGTAGATGTTTGTTTCAGCAAAAGCAGATGTGAAGGAGACAGGACTTTATGGATGCTCGCAGGGAGCTCCTCCTCATACATGGGAAAGCCTGGGGAAAAGCCCAAACAGGTTTCTTTGAAAACATGTCAATGAAAGCTGCCATCGTGGGCTACGAATGAGATGAAAAATGGGTTGTGTAGGGATAATCCAGGAAAATATGTGCAGTAGGGAAGAAGGCCATGAAGGCGTTCGAGTAACAGAGGGTTTGTCAAAGTGGCAGACTAGGAAAATGCTCTGTACAGCAAAAGACTGGCAGGATATGAGCACAGTAGCTTGAATTTGTCAAGGGCTGTGAAAAGACGTTGCAAAACTGCTAACTGAGGAGAGCCTGGGTAGATGATTTAGCTGTTTGAACAGCTAAAAAAAATCCTTTGGGATGATGTGTGAAAAAGCATCTTCTAGATTAACACATAACCTAAATATACAGACCTAGAAAGGAGAGATTCCATGACAAAAACCTTCTCCAGTTTCTTTCTGGTTTTAGGCTGGAATAAGAGGCAGGATGATAATGTTGTCCTGAGCAATCAAAGGAAGAACTAGAAGGGAGTGCTTTAGGGGAAAGATTTAAGAGCTCAGTTTTGGCTGTGCAGAGCTGTCAGCTAAACATCGAAAAGGTATCAGAGCTAGAGGTCGACATTTTAGTTTAAATGGAAAAGCAAGTAAAGAGAGTAAGATCTCTGAACTGTCAGCACTGAAGGGATTGCTGAACGTGTATGAATGGTGCCACAAAGAAAGGGAAGCAATTAAAGTAGGGGGGAAAATGTTTCCCCAGAAACCTGGGATGGAGGGAATGAGACAGAAGGTCATGCTGGAAAAGTGATTAGAGAAATCATAGTAAAATGACAGGAGGAGACACAGGAGCCAAGGGAAGCATCACATTTCCAGGCATGTGATTAAATGGGTTGAAGGCAGCTGATAGGTCAGAAAGGATGAAGTTGAGAAGAAATTTCAGTAGAAAGAAAGTCTAGGCAGGGACTGTAGAGCTTTGAGATGAAGAGCTGTGGTGGTGCTTGAAGATGCAGGTGGGGTAACAGGGAGAATCTAAAGCATGCTTATATTGTGAGAGAGAGAAGCTAGCCTTCAGTAGATAAAAAACTAAGATAGGAAAAAACATATTCATAATTAAAGCTGAACTAACTAGTTTTAATATATAGTTTACTCAGAAAAGGCAAGGCGTATGATAAGGTAGTAACGCTCATTATATCTGTCAATATAATGTAAAATATACAAGCTTTTCTTCAGGTCTGCACATAAATCAACATATATTGCCCTTTATTTACAAGCTGTTGGTAAAGCAGTCACTAGCTGCTTGAATTTGTGTGATATTTATAAATTTTGTGCTGACAGATTCCTCTGGTGAAGTTTCAGCCTATAGATTGTGCAGAAATTCAGTGCTACAGCTGCTGTTCATTCATCATATACAAGAGCCTGTCCTTGGCAGGAAGACATCCAGGGATCTCCTAACATTCAGAGTAGCTTTGCCAATTCAAAAGCCAGTGTTATATTTCCTTTGAGTCAGGATTGAAAAAATGCCCTTTAATGATACTAAGCTTCTTTGCGATCTGGAAATGCTATTTTTCCGATGGTCTGTGAGATCAGAGTCCTGAACTCTTGCTTTTCACTACCTCAGGAGGTCAAGTTGTTTATGAGAATTTAGTCCTAGCTGGAATCCTTAATCCCAATATATACAAACTTTGGCAGTCACGATCACAAATTTCCTATATGTAAGTCTGAATCCTAATTTTGTGGCCAGACATTTTCTTTAAACAGCATGCTAAAATCCATTTGCCAAGCAATTCCAGAATTTCCAGATATTTGGAAATCTCAGTGATACTTCTTACTTCAGTGAGTCCCATCCATCAGTCCCTCTACTGGTTCTTACGCTTGTTTAATTTGCTTTACTTACTTACCTTTATTTAACAGAACTGAGGTCATGCTACAGGGGAAAGGACATGCTGATGTGTGCTCCCCAGGTGTCTGCCTTGCTGCACAGCCCATCTGGACAGGCCCCTAGCTGGAAGAATTTAATATTGAAGTCAATTCATATAATAACAAGAAACAAACAGATAAAGTAAAATAGCCTTATCAATAATTATATTAAACTTGATTTGCCCCAAACCAAAAGCAGGTAATTAAAAATGAGTAAAGAGTACAAGCCAACATCTAATAATGACCAGTATGTTACTGTTGACACTGCAGCTCTGTGGTTGTGACAAAACTATTGATATTGCATCATTTAAATGTACAAACACAATATATATTAGACAAACATTTCCTGAGTGTTTGTGAGTTTTGATGCATATGTTTGACTTGCATTGTTGTGTTTTGATACAGCAGTTGTCTCCTCCCAGGGTAGAGAGCGCAATCCTTCAATGCCCTGTTGTGGTTTAACCCGGGTAGGCAGCTGCTCACTGCCCTGGAGGGATGGGGAAGACAGTCAGAAGGGGCAAAGTGAGTAAACTCGTGGGTTGAGATAGACAGGTTAATAGGTAAAGCAAAAGCCACGCGCACAAGCAAAGCAAAACCAGGAATTCATTCTGCACTTCCCATGGGCAGACAGGTGTTCAGCCATCTCCAGGAAAGCAGGGCTCCATCACACGTAACAGGCACTATAATCATGTCATTTTTAAAGATACTGTTTGTTTGCTCTTTGCTTATCAGTGTGTGTGTGCACACAAGGGAGTGACTCCCTGGCATTTTACTTGCACTCTTGCACTAACAAATAATCAAGGTGTCAAATGGGGAGTGTATTGGGTCTGGCTGCGAACGAGTTACTTTTCCCCAAAGCAGCCCTCAGTGCTGTGTATCGGTAGTAAGCAAGGTGTTGGTAACGCACCAGTGTTTGGGATACTCCTGAGCAGCACTGGCACAGCATCAGGGCTGCCTCTCCAACACCCCCCTGCTCAGCGGTAGACTGGGGGTGGGCAAGATCTTGGGAGTGGACACAGCCAGGACAACTGTCCAGAGGGATATTCCATACCATATGACATCTGCTCAGCAATAAAAGCTGAGAAAAAGGAGGAGGAAGGGGGGCATTTGTTATTTACATTTGTCTTCTAGAGCAACCGCTATGCATACGGAAGCCCTGCTTCCCTTTAGGTGGCCGGACATCGCCTGCTGATCGGAAGTAGAGAATAAATCTTTTGGTTTTTTCTCTTGCTTCCATGCACAGCCTTTTGCTTTTGCTTTATTGAACTGCCTTTATCTTGACCCACGAGTTTTTTTCCATCTTATTTATCTCCCCTCCCTGTTCTGCTGAGGAGGGCAGTGATAGAGCAGCTTGGTGGGCACTGGGTGACCAGCCAAGGTCAGCCCAGCACTGGGAGAGTCAGGTCCTGGCTCGAGATTTATGCTCAGACTTCTGCACTACATTTTCCTGAATTGCACTGCAAAGGTCTCTGAATGCCCCAGGTGACATTTTGGGTTTCCTCGTGGAAATTTCTGTCTTCACAAATAATTGCTTCTGAACCTGGCTAATTTATATTTAATTACTGACAAATGTGCATGCACTCAGTCAGTAATTTGATTGGGGAAAAAACCCAAAAAGTTAAAAGATACTACGATCTGCGCAGTAATAATCACACACGTTTCCCATCGTTTAGGTCTGTAAGAACTCCTGACATTTGAAGCTGTCCTACCGAGTTGCCATGGCAACGAGAAAAAAGAAAACGTCAGATCTGAAGATTGCAGTTTACAGTTACTGTTCTTCACTACTAGGCCTCAGTTGCTCCAGATTCAGTTTAATTTGCAACCTCACCTAATCTGTCCGACTATACATTGGTGTTTGACAGCCTCTACCCTAACTTTCATTTATTAATGGATTCCTCTTGCAAGACGCAAGGTTTATGCGAATTTTCTCTGAATGTTAAAAGACCATGACATCTAAACTGGACCTTGGGGGAGCAGAAAACAGATTGACTCCATTTTTTTCTATCTGTTGACTTGTTGCTATTCAACTGTTCAGAAAATATTTTGTCTGTGGGTTAGTATTTGTATATGTATGAGTGTATGTATATATATATATTTATATAGAGAGAAGAGTTATACAACAGGTTTAGCTTTTATAAAATATTCATCTGGAGCGTGCAAGGGACAAAGCAGAATAATTCAGCCACAGATGAATTGTAACTATTCTACCATGGCTAAACCTACTGTAGTTGCTGTTTATAGTGTGGCCAGAAGGAGAGAGCCTACTGCAATCATACCGCTACAACAGCCACTTTGTTGACACCAAATAAAGCAGGCCCAGGGCTCTGCAGTGTCACTTCTTGTACCTCAGGTTCAGCAAACAAGAAATGCAAGTCCCCCTGGCTTGTTTCGGATCTGAACTGCTTTCCTTATGCCCCAAATGGAATTTACGATCCGGCAGGAGCACAGCGCTTTGCTCCCCATTTCGGTGGGAGCAGCGCTGGGAGGTGCTGCGAAGCTCAGATTTGTGAGAAAGCGGGAAGCAGCCAGCTGCGACCAGCGCTGTGTGGGTCACGATTTACAGCAGTGGGAGTGCTGGGCCTGATTTTAAAGGGGCTTCCTTTATGTGCCGGCAGATTATTATTTGCCGGAGCAGTTTACAAAATTTTAAGTATTTCGTCAGCTCTGCAGACGCAGTTAAGTAGGTAGGAGTCTGCATATGAGAAGCTGATTAGAACAGCAAACGCAAAGTATTTCTCAGAAGCACTGGTGTCTCTCTCAGCCTCTATGCAGCCGTCATCACATACGTAAGTGCAAGGAGGAAAACAGATACCCTATTCTATAAATATATTCACACACATATATAGAGTTTTGAATATATATATACATACATACACATGTACACACAGTTTCCAGTTAAGAGTAACAAGAGCATTTCTTTGTGTGTGTAAACTTACCACACTTGTTTGCAGACATGGGAAAAAAAGGGTGTTCGTTATATATGAATATGGATCCTTTTTTATTCTGTGAGCATGTAAGGTTAAAAAAAAAACAAACAAACCTTCTAACTGTATCAAGATGATCATCTTGTTAATAAATTGTAAATGATCCATCAAAGCTCACACCAAATTTTTATAAAATTAACACAAAAAGTATACTAGTGACAGACTGTGGCTTTTATTAGAGCTTGCCAGTAACTAGGGTAAGGTAAGTGTCTTAGAATATTTTAATAAACTTGCTTATTTAAAGTTTAAACAAGAAAGCTTCCTTATGCAATAGAACTTTGCAGCTGCATTCTTTAGTTAGCATTTTTACAGTACTTATGAGTCATACTGTATGTTGTCTTTACTACAGTGAGATTATGAGCATATCTTCCACACCACGTATATGTTTCAATAGTAAAGCTTTTTGGAAGCATTAAAAAGTCCAAACATACATTTAGTTCTCCATAATGCTACACTAGATATTAAATGTGTGTTGGTGGTTAAAAATTGCTGTACAATAGCTTTTCTCTGACTTCCTGTATTGTACCAAATATGAAACAGGTCTTTCTTCTTTTTTCTTTTTTTTTTTTTTTTTTTAATCAGAAGGAGTAATAACAACCGTGACAGAGGAAAAATTAGTTTGTGTTGTGAACTTTCCTAACATTGTAGATGTCTTGATAAGATACAAGCTGCCTTCAGACAGGAACCTATTTTTCTCTTCCAGTGAAACTCCTGCAGTCCTGACCAAGTCAAATCTCCCACTGACCTTGTTTCCCTTGCAGTACGCTCTAGGTGTTTCAATTACCAAAGTGGTACTTCGAGGTTAGTGGGAGTTTGTGTTGAGCAAGGGCTTCAGGAGTGGGCTGTTAGGCAGCTGCAGGCATTTCAGTGGGAAAGTGCCTGATCCCAAACATTAACATGGGCATGCTTCTAGTTCTCTTTCTCTGCCCATGCCTTGTAATAATCATATGCTCCTGCTTTATCATCAACAAACATGTCTTTTAAAAAAAATGTAATTTTCAGGCAAATTTTTCAAAACAAGAAAATCAACAAATGCATAACACCACTGGATTTTCAACATGTATATTTAATGAATGCATCCAGATGCACCCAAAGATAAACTGCACCCTATGCTTTGATCTACAAAACCACTATCTTGAATAAAAGAAATTGTAATATCCTCCCCGACAAATACTCTTTTTCTACTTGCTTCCTCCCTCTCTCTATCCAGCAAAACCCACCTCTGGAAAGACACCCATTGACGTTAGTGTCATTTCTATCAAGTACCAGATAAAGCTACCCTTTTCTTGTTTAAACCAAGGCTCATATAGCATTTGGTGGATCGTGTCAAGGGCATCCAAAATGAGGAACAAAGAAAAAAATCTCTTCTGCCTGGAACTACGCTAACAATGGGAAGACTTTTTCTACCACTCTGTGCCCAAGGACAAGATATCTTTCTTCTTGGATAACACTGCAACCTTTTGACACGTAGAGAGGTCAGTATCATGGCTGAAACTCTGAATCAAGATGCATCAAAGCCTTCATTCACTATTATCACTTTATTTCTGCACCTAGATTAAAGCCTCCCAGCCTTTACTGTGTGTCTCTAGGCTTCAGATGGAGCTAATCACTGGACTACCTAAGCATGCAAAGAGAAGATGAAGCTGCCGTGTTAATGTTTCTCCCTCTCCGTACCTGAGAACAAACCCCATTTAACAAGAGATTGCGGCACTTTCTGTAGCGTTATACAAGTGAGGAACCGTATTAGAATCTGAGTTTTCTTACCTGAATAAAATTGTCATCTCTAGTTCAGAAAATGATGCCCATTTCCTGAAACAAAGGCACAACAATAATTTATTAGTTTTTCTACAATATAATGAAAAAGTAGAGAAGTTACAAAATTGGTTGTCATTGTCTAAATAGCTAATTATGTTTAACATTTGTTCAGCCAAGCTTGGTGGTTTTATAACGTAGCACTTATATTTCTACCTAGCTATTTTGGTCACTACAATGTTTATTTCAGTCTGTTTGTAGACAATAATGGTGTATAGAGTCAGAAAGGCAGTGAACTTGTTGATTTTCATTTTGTAACGTGCACAAAACTTGTGCAAAAATCATTTCACTTGAAAAGAGTAGCTGCTGTTAAAACACAAATTGGGTATAACAATCAGTAAGAGGAGTTTATTAGCAAGACAAAGGTCTCATTTGTGGTGTACTTGCTAATTGAACCCTTGTCTGTACACCTCGTGTATGCTTTTACAATATGCCTATGTGCGTTTATTAATGTACAGTTTGTTCAGTAACTGTAGGTCTGAAGATTAAAACAAAGGGAAACGAGCTGAATTTCCCACTAGGTATCAAGGAAAATTAGGTAAGAGTGGAACACTGGCTAATACGCTTTCTGAGCCCCGTTCTCATCACGTTTACACGGCTGTAAATCAAAGAGCAACTCCATTACTAGAATTGTTTGAGATTCAGTTAATCATATTTAGATGAAATTTTTCATCTAAATGTCCTCACTTATTGCTTTTACTGGTCTTATGTGAACAGTAAAGCAGCAATATTAGTCACAGGATTGTTGAGTGCTTACATATTATCGAAAGTCTGTCTTTTGTGACATATAGAGAAACCTACAGCTTAGATGCCTCCCACAGATGACTCACTTTCTTCACCAACCACTTCAACGTGTCTCTAAGGCACCCAGAATAATTTGGTTTAACCTTTATTTGAAATGGCTGTGGCCTGTAGTCAAATAATTCGTCCTGGTCTCCTGTGTAGTCGTATAAGTTAGGAATCATTATAATAAAAAAACCCTCATTTATTAAATTACAGACTTACAATCAGTTTGTAGGGCCCTAAGCTTATGTGTTTTATCACTACAAAAAAAAAAGGTATATGTTATATTAACAACTTTTACATCATCGGTCCTTCCTTTGCAAAGACTTCCTGTCTGAAATACTGAGAAAGCTGCCGGTTTTCTTCTCAATTGCTACTAATACACTCAGCCACTTGAAACATAGCAGAATTTTGTACACAAATAACTTTACATCACTTTGTCTAAAGGCTAAGTTTCTTTCTGAATGGGTTTAATAATGTCTTATTTAATTAAAAAAAACCCAAACCTCCCACAAGTTAATTATATTAAAGTCACATCAGCTTGAGAACACCAAGTCTAAGGCAAAACTCTGCTCCTATCTTCCCTTTATTGCAGCTCTAAAAACTCTGTTGTCCGAGAGATACACTGTCCAATGTTAACAAAAAGATAAATATCTAAAATAGCAATTATTTTCTTTCAACTAACTCTGTGCTCTATAATCTTTAGAGTTAACATACAAAGTACATTAGTAATTATTATTATAACTATTCTATTTAAAGCAGATATAGCTGACTATTTCACCATGTAAAACACATAGCCCATTGACTACACTGTTCTCTTGCCTCACATCGAGATATGCGAGTTGATTTATATTTGTCCAAATGAAATGGATACACTCATACACTCTCAGTGGAAAGTCACTAGGTGCACAATTGCTATGTGTGTGTATATATGTAGATATATAGAGATATACACATACACATATAAATATATATATTAAAAATATATGCAGATGGAGGGAGACTAATACAACATGGGGACCTGGAATAAGCACCTTAGTTCCACAAATTATGGATGAATACATGAGTTAAGGGACAACATGGGTTACGTACGCCAAACAAGTCTGATTTTAAAAAAAAAGGCAAAAAAAAAAAAACCCCACACTAAAACCCAGGCTTATCCCAACTCTCATGTTGTATTTATGCTACCTTTAGCTGTCCCCTCTTCACATAATTATATCATTTGAAGATATGCATAATTGTTTACTGACTCATTTTTAGGTGTCTATGTATCAGCAGGTCACCAGTAGCGGAAAGGGAAGGGTTTATAGCCAGAATTCTGCATTACGGCGCTTTCAGTGGGACAGCTATTTGGGAAAGTTTCATCCACCCGTCGAACATCGCACTCCTCCTCTGCATCAGC